GCCACCGAAAACACAGTTGAAAACACGTAAGAAAACATCAGCACAGCACAGGGGCGACCGGTCGCTGATACCTTGCGACCGGTCGCTACGACCATTTGGATACATAGCGACCGGTCGCTGATACCTTGCGACCGGTCGCTCGTTGCGATTTTTCCAGATTTCGAATCTGCTTCTAAACGACCGGTCGCCCAAACCTTGCGACCGGTCGCTCACTCATTTGCTTGCATACTAAATGTGAGCCTATTTTACAACATCATTGACTTATTCAAGCGGTGCGTTTTATGATTTCCACAAGCTTGTATGTACTCTTAGGTCTCGTTTGGTAGCTCAGCTTAAATCGAACTGATGTCCTAGTTGTTATTTGGTGATGAACTTGTAAATTTCATCTAGAGGAGTGAAATTCATAAGGATTAAATTTCATCTAGAGGAGTGAGATTCATGATCGAGCCACCCAAAGAGACTTTGCTTTACATTAACCTATGTCATACATACTCAGATGAGGTTGTGAATTCTAGCTTGTATTCTTGTAGATAGTTCACCTTTTCACAATATATATGTATATCTTCTCCCTTTTGAACTTTCCATGTTAGTAAAAAGACATCATCTTCTTTTCATGTTACTAATACTATGAACATTGATCCTTAATTAAAAGTATATATTAGTGGATAGGAACTCATTGGAGAGAAGCCGGATTTATGTGTATGGGCTACATAGATGGCTACTTATCACCTAACTCGGTCCCTTTGTTTGAATGGATGTCGCCTTCCAATTCAGAGGCTAGCTTTTTTTGTTATTGTTCTACACACGTACATGATAAAAAAGAAAATAAGTACATCGTGAAGAAAAATCATAATTGAATATACCTCTTAATTTATCGTGAAGAAAAATTAACTAATGATTTTGGAAAAGTTGTATTGTTTATTAAGAGAATGTGATCCTGCGCTTTACAAATAAGTGATTGTTTGTGATCAGTGCTTTTGTGACTCAAAACGACGGGCATGCACTAAGCAACTTGCTTAATTAAGAATCTCTAAAACCAACTATATTATATTAATTGGCACTAATGGTATTGGGAAGGAGAAGGAGCTGGTAATAAACTTCTCGAAGTTACTATTTCTCCATCCGTCATTCCAATTTACATTCCCCCTTGCTTAATCAAACAAATTTCTTGTGATTTATTCGCCACTTAGTACTTTTTAATATGTTTTTAATGGCCGATTAATCGACTAATTACATTGTGAATGATCACGACAGACCGCAAGACAACAAGAAATGTCCTGGTTTCCCACTAAACCCACGAAAATTTCTTCTTGGGTTTGAATTAATGCTGGTCAGAGAGACATTAATTAAGCTTAATTACCAAATAGAAAATTCCCAATTGAAATATACAAATGGGAATGTTTGGACTAAAGTTTCAGTATGACGACAAATGGAGTCACATGCATGCATGAAGTTTGAATTAATGAGCATCTCAGCATTTTCACTTGGAAACCTCATCTTCTTTTTGGTGTAAATCATGCTTAGCCAGATCGATCGAGGTTTACAGTAATCATGACTTGTAAAGCAAACCAGACAGTTTGGCCCATGAGGTCATCATACATCCTCCATAGTCCGACTTTGTCTGCCTGGCTTTCAATATGCCGGCCTTTGATCGATGCATTGCTTAGGCCCTCATGAAAACATGAAATTGATGATGTCTGCTAATGGATTCACAAAGCCAAAGATATCAAATCATTACTTGGCCTACTCCTCGACCATGCACTTAATGTGCCTTTGAAAAGATCCAACATTACAACTAAAAAACATTCTATTAAGACTTTACGAAGAAAAAGTCGATCATAAATTTGACATAATATGTTATTTGACTGTTAATCACAACCGGACTACACAAGAACACTGTATATATCGTACGGAGCAGGGCAGAATATAAAATTAGTAGGTAGCTAGGGTGGCCACTTGTGAGGTCAGAGAGGTCTTGTAATTTTGTATATGAAATTGGAATGCGTATATAAAAAAAAAAATGAAAAAAAAAGAGAAAAAAGGGAAAACAGGCAGGCTGATAGAATAATATTAGAGCATAAAAAGCTGAGGAGGGGACCTACGTAAGAATTTTGTGTTAAGCACTAAGCTAGACAACAGAGAACACAAAGCTCTCTCTCTCTCTCTCTCTCTTTGTTTCCACGTACATACGTCCTCTCATAGTATATACCAAATCATCCCAAGGCTTCTGGCTATATATATACATATCTTTGGACCTAGCTTTATTCTTAAGTTCAGGCACAAAACCAAAGCTAATCCATTGTCGCTACTCATATTCCAAACCTAGCTATATCCCTCTCTCTCTCTACCAATATTCATCTCTCTCTCGTCTCTGAGACCTTTTCCTCTCATCTTCTCGAACGGCTTCTGCTTTTGAACAACTAGCCATGTCTAGGATACATCCGGCTGCAGTGAATAGATACCAGGATCATGATCAAGATCATCCGCTGGAGCTTCAAGATGCTCATGATCATCGTGTGCCTCCCTCTGCGCTCACTGTGTGGAAGAGATCCAGCATGAGTTTCCAGGGGACTGATGGATTTACAGTGTTCGATGACCGCGGAATATTGACTTTCCGAGTGGACAACTATTCGAGAAAAAACTGTTGTGTTAGAGGAGGGCTTGTCCTCATGGACGGAGTCGGAAGGGCCTTGCTGACACTCAAACCCCAGGTACTTAATTATGGCCTTCCTCCTCTTTAATGTAGTAAATATCATTGTTTGTAACGGCTGGTTTAGGCCAGTTAGCCGGGCATTGAGCCCATGCATATTCGAATCCCCTTCCTCATATAATTTAGATTATTGCTTGTAAAAAAAAAATTATGGTTTGTAACCGATACATGAAAGCTTAATGAATTTGATTTTGTATGAACAGATGTTGAGCATGCAAGACCAATGGAATGCATATAGAGGAGAAGATGGGTGTGGAAAGAGCCCAAAATCCAGCAGGGTGTTTGCCATGAGAAGTGGGTCTGGCCTTTTTGGCAGCAGCAACAAAAGTGAAGCAGCTGAGGTGTTCATGGGAGCTCATGCAACTGGCACCCCAGATTTCAGAATTGAGGGTTGTTTTGGGAGACGAAATTGCAAAATCAGAAGCCGCAGTGGACAATTGGTGGCCAGTGTAGCTAGAAAGAGAGTAAACAGTACAGTCTTGCTTGACAATGATGTGTTCAACTTAGTTGTTCAACCAGGCTTCGACCTTGACCTTATTATGGGTTTTGTAATTATCTTGGATCGGATTTGTGGGAAGCCATTTACCCCAATTTTGTGTTCTTAATTATCTTGTGATGTACAGAAATAAACCCATGTAAACAAGATACCATCTTTTTACCCTACTGAATCTCATATGTTGTACAAGAGCCATCACTCCAATTTTCTTGTATTTAAATAGAAGTGGAAGTGTTTCAATGCCTTCCTTTGCTCTATCATCCCATTATTAATTTCCTTGATTCTTTAGCAAATTAGCAACTTCATTCAGATCAGAAGTTTTCAGTGAGACAAGACATATACATCTTGCATCATGTGAGTAGCACGTGATGAGTAATCGTGAGAGAAGATACGTATACAACCGTCTCATAGGAGCCGGAATTTTCCTTGTATTTCACCCTAAGGCCAAAGGATAGCCTACCACATACTCTTAATCCACAATGATCAGGCTTGTCAGGCACATGGCATGTTATGGAACAGATGGTGGTGTCGTTACAATGCAACACCACATGTTACTAATATTGCCGAAAATATTTAAACAGGGCAAGTTTTCTGACGATGAGAATGAAACCAAACTCAGAGAAAGATTACCTTGTTCATGTATATAGAATTTTCTTTCTTTTTTAAGAACAGCAGGAAGATTATATTGCATCTGTAGACATGCTAAATTTGTATTAATGTGGAAAATAGGGGGGCAGAACTTGCAAACTCTGAAAAGCTTGTCCCGTTCAACCTGCCAAACTAAGTTTTTCTCATGTTTTAGGTTCTGAATTGAATCCGAAAATAGTGTTCTAAGCAACAAAATGATAGCTGCATGACAACATGACTCAGGAATAACATGTAATCTAGAAACTGTGAACGACAGCATGTGAATATTTCGTAAGGCAGAATTTCGTAAAACGGCCCAAGTGGGTCATCTGTGATGTTAGTACTATTCCGTAAAACTGCCAAAATAACAGGTGCAGCCAATAACTAGCCATGTATTAGCCTCCGAGATCGCCATCTGTTAGTCACCGGTAACATAAGACTTGCCTTCATAATACTTTTTCTCACTTGCTGCCTTCTTCTCATTGCGTATCTGCAGGAAGGAAAAAAAAAGGCTGAATTTGATTAGGTTTGAAGCAAATCAGAAAAGCAGAAATCAATGAATACCAACTAAGACAATAGTTATATATTTATATGTTTAAGCATATGGACAACATATAATGCTTTATGATTGGATACAAATTTGATCAAAAGAGTATCACAAAGAAGGTCAGGTATAAAGGGGACCTGGTATGCTTCATGATTGGATACAATCCTCCTAATTATCGTGGAAGTAGTGATATCAAGGGGGCTGTCCAAAACTTTGAAGATACCCATACTGATTGGAACTTCATATGGATTGCCTTGTTCCTGCAGAAGAAAAATTATGTAACTAACCAAAGCATCCCGGCACCTCCATTATTAAGCAATAGAATAATATACATCACCATGACTAACTTGTTTCACAATTTACCTTCTGAAAATTGTTATTCTCTGCTACCGTTCCATGGACAACTAAAGAGATGTTAAAGGTGGTGATCTGCAGGCAAAAAGAACTATGAGCATTCTTTCAAACAAGCCAAGTTGACAAAACTGAGGAAAGTACTTCAGTAAGACAAGTTATTGGTAGGTACAATTTCAATAAACATTAATGTTTACCACAAGCAAACCAGAAGAATCAAGTAGAAGAATGAAAAGTGACTAAATGCATAATGAAGCAAATTCAATACAAATAAGAAGACAAGCTGACCACATCTTTTGAAATTTCCCATGGAGCACCGATTATAACTTCATCCACATGCCGGCAAGCCAGAACACTCAGGCTTCTTTCGTGAAGGTTCATGATTGGACGATGTGCTCCTCTATGAGCACTGCAGTGAAATTATTAGAATGAAGGCTATCACCTATGAAGCGTACAAAGCTCGTATCTAATACAATTAAACTATTCGTACTTGGAAAAAAAAAATTACAATCAGAGGTTGCAAAACTAAACAAGCTGCTATAAGAGACAGAAGTTCATGAATTGGTCAGCGATATTGCTTTTCTGTTTTATAGGTATGAGTTGCTTCCCAGAAATTAATATAACATGTAAAGTTTGAGAACGAACTTGAATTTCATGAAACATCAAAATGTGAACAACGGATCATTGCAGTAAAAAGGATAACATACACACAGGCCATGTGTAGGAAAAAAAGTTAAAAATAACAAGGGTACCAACCAAAAAAAAACATGAAGTAAATCAACTTTCATAAAAGACAACTGATACTCAACCAAGTTTTCCAAAGTGGTGACAAAGAATAAGTTTCTGTCACAGCCATTGTGCTACTCAAAACCCATTTGATGAGAAAACTAGCACAACGGAGTATAAAATGACTCACCGACTCTTTCTTTTTCACGTGACAAAGATAACATACACACATGCATGTGTGCTAAGAAGTTCTGTGGACATACAATGTTGGGTGGATTTTTTATTTTTTATTTCTTTAAAACAAGTGATAGTCTCAACTACAAGCCATAGTAAACGTTGGGTGGGTTTTTAAATTTTGGTCAAACTACAGATGGATCTAAAGTGGGTCCAATTGACTAAACAGTTACAGAAACTGACAAGGGAAGGTTTTACCATTTCAAAATTGCAACAAAAGGTGTAGATAGCTTAAATAAAAGAATCAAACTTGATAGCCCTTCCAGCAATAGGGAAGCAGGAGACCAAACCTGACAGTCTGATCAGTGTGTATTCCAACAAGAAGAAAATCCCCAAGCTCTCGCGCAATCCTTAAGATCTGTATGAAAAGGATGGACATGTAACGAAACAAGTAAGTTTTTTATCCCTGAATTGTTAATTGCCTACATTGAATAGTGAAGCAAATAATGGATGGTAATTAAGCTGAAGAGAAAAAGGAAAAAAGTCCATTGAAATCTAAAGCAAATTGGGAAAAATAAGAGAAACAACTAGAAGACCACAGTAGCACAGAACATAGGATGAACAAAAAAACCAACAGGAAGTTAAGGAGTGCTGTTATAAAGCGTGTGTGGTGTGTCAGAGAGAGATAAAGACAGGCTTAGTTTTATTTTGCTTTTGTTTCCCAGGTTTTTCCTTGTGTACAAAAAAGGGGGCCAGTTTGGAAATTATTGGGAATCAGATATGTAATCTGCCCAGCCAAAGGATCAATATAAAAGAATTTGGAAAGGTACTTTAAGAAGAGAGGAGGATAAATAGCATGTGAGCAAACTCATCTGCATTACCTCCACATGTCCAGCATGGAAAAGATCAAATGCACCATCTATATAAACTATGCGTGCGTCCGACTGAGGACCCTGCAATCAGGCATAAAACATACATTAAAAAGTGACAAAGTCCACCTCACCAGTAATATATGTGATATAGAAATTATGTTTTGTCTTTCCTTTTTGTTCCCCCTTGTTTAACAAGAGACTTCATCCGAGGAATCAAGGCAAGGGATTGAGTAATAAAAATTGCCCTCAGTCTGTGATGTAATATCCACAAGATATAAACTAGGATATTCATAGAAATTCAGATAGCTAAAACAGACAAAATGCACTTATTTATTTGAAACAACCAGTAGAGAAAGTTCAGAGATTACGTACTTTTCCATTCGAGAACTGAACAATTCTTCGAGATGTTGGTAGGAAATGAGACACACGAGTTCCGCTTCCAGATCCACCATCTTCAAATTTCTGACTGTGACCATGGCTGAATTGTCTCTGCAAGGAAGAATGGTGCTGGTTCTCACTAACCGATCTCTCTCTTACACAGAGAAGCATACGACCTGTTCACAGCATTACCAAAAAACAAAATTAGACTAGCAAATTCCAACTGCCCCAGCAAAGGATTAACAACTGTGATTATGTAAAGAAGATTAGTATTTAATCAGCTTCTGTGCTATAATTAGACTTAAATACGCACAGAAATGGGCATAACCGAGTGAGATGGATAGAATGAAACAAACCAACAATGTCTGTGCTGGAGACCCCTTCTGTGCGTTTGATCTGCTTGTAGCGACCAGCCTTCTTGGCAAGAGCATAAGCGTCAGTTCCATCAGGAAGAACACATGGGTCATCTCCATGAATGATATAGTCTATATTGTATTCATCAAACAGTTTCTTCATGAACTCTTCGGTTATAGCATAAGGTGCATCCGGAATAACCTCATCAACCCATTTCACAGCATTAACCATAATCATCCTACAACACAACACAAGCACAGATGCATTCACATAAACCCAATAATTACAAAGCTAATGCAGCTGATTTAAACAAAAAGCTGGTACCTTTCATCGAGAGGAGTAACAGGGGGGCCTTTGTTGACGATGATTTCAGCGTCGCTGACAACGCCGACAACCAATTGGTCGCCGAGGGCACGTGCCTGACGGAGCGCGTTGCAGTGGCCGTAGTGCATCATGTCAAAGCAGCCGTCCATGTAAACGCGGACAGGTCTGTTCTTCTTCCTCCGCCATGGAAATCCCAGAGGAAGCTGAGGGCCATGACGTTCCTGTGAGCCTAACAGAGACACCCCAAAGCCAACCCCCACTGCCACCACCACCCCTCCGACGAGGCACGTGGCTAGAAACCTCGCCCAGCTTCGCGCGTTCTCTGAGTTCCCATCTTCCAAACCCATTTCGTCGCTTCTGGATTTCACAAATCAAATCAAATGAAAGAGAGAGCTTTAGTCATCTGATTTACCCAACATTTCTTTTCTTCTATCGAATCAGAAAACCGAATAAAGTCGGCATTTTTTTCCTTCTGATGAAAATTGTCGGGTTCGGGGTTCCCCTCACTTTTCTCGTTCTCACTCAATTTTCTCACTTTTTATTTTTTGTGCGGCGGATGATTCTTGGGCTTGGGCTACTGTGCCATCCAAAGTTTCAATTTTTATTGGGTCGAAAATGACTCTTTTATAGGATTTTCTTAAGCCCATTTTCTGTTATGTTTATTGTTTCAGGAAAAAAAAAAACGACATCGGTGAGTGGAGGGTGGTGGGCGGTGGCGTGGACTTGACTCAAGACTCTTTGTTTGGTTTATTCCCTTTCAAATTCCGTTATTCCACTGTAACTCCTCTTCCTCTTCCTCTTCCTCTTCCTCCTGTTGCCGACGAATAGAAACGAAAGAGAGAGAGAGATCGCGTTGGACTGGTCTTGCTTACAAGTAACAATGGCTTCCACCGAGGGTATAGTACCAATAACCAGGGCTTTTCTGGCTTCCTATTACGACACATACCAATTCTCCCCTCTCTCAAACGACGTTGCTCGCCTTTCCTCTGAGATTCACTCTTTCACCGCCGATTTGCTTAACAGCTCTCCGGCTGCTGAAGGTCCTTAATTTCTAATCCCTCTAATCTTATTTTTGTTAAAGTGATCATCTTTTTTTTTGCTTGTTATTGCATATTGTTTATTGAATGAGTCAATGAGTGTGATTTGTAGGCGAGGAGAGATTATTAGTGAGTGAGTTAGAGAGTGAACCGCCCCATAAAGTTGACGAGAACATGTGGAAGAATCGAGAACATATGGAGGAGATACTGTATTTACTTGAAAAGCCTCATTGGCCTCGATCGGTAAGCTAACCTAAGTTAATCTATGCTGTTGTTGCTTCTGAAAGATCCTACCTTTTTTTTTTAAAAAAAATGTATTATAATTCTTGCTTCTCTGGGCACAGCTTCAACAGCAGTTAAGTCCTGATGATGCTGAACTTGCTACTATTATCGATCGTCTCCACCAAAAGTTTCAAACTAGTTTGAAGACATTGGAGTCTTTCCAAGCTAAAAATTCGGAACGTGTCTTCAATACAGGTTCGTTGCCTCTCGCTTGCCCATGTTGCGTTTCAATGACTTATTCAAAACTTTGCTTTGCTCATAATGGAATGTGGGATTCTGCCTGCAGTTATGACTTACATTCCCCAAGATTTTCGGGGAAAGCTCATCAGACAACAGAGGGACCGTTCAGAGAGGAATAAGCAAGCAGAGGTTGATGCTTTGGTTAGTTCTGGAGCATCTATACGTGATCGTTATGCTCTCTTGTGGAAACAACAGATGGAGAGGTGAGCCTAATTACTTTTCACTTACCCAATTGGGTTAAAAGCAGCATGTCCTCCACCTTACGTTTTATTTGCCCATCACTCTTCCAGGAGGAGACTTTTAGCGCAGCTTGGTTCTGCTACTGGTGTCTACAAAACCCTTGTCAAGTACTTGGTTGGGGTTCCACAGGTATGTTCCTCTGCGCATTTGCCTGCCTTTTTTTTTTGGCTGGGTTGACCTACTACTCCATATGCTTGTTTGGTCTGTATATTCACTCCTACTTCTTAACTTGATATGCTGTTCTCCTTCTAACGTTCCTTTTATGGTTTTCTCATTTTGCCTAATGTATTTATCTAGTTGGAGGGTGGTTATTTGATGTTGTTTCGATAAATTATTATTTTTAGATGTATTTCAAAAGTATGATTTACTTAATCCATGTTCGAGACTCTGATAATTGGTAACTGTTCCTGCACACTTCCTTTTGGGTGCAGGTTCTACTAGATTTTATTCGCCAAATAAATGATGATGATGGGTAAGTTCTTTTGTCGGAGTAGTGTAATTGCGCAGCCTATAATAATTTAATGTCTTGTTGTATCCTTCATTAACAGGCCCATGGAAGAACAACGACAACGTTATGGACCACCTTTGTACAGACTTACAACTATGGTGCTTCTTATAAGACTCTTTATTTCGCTGTCTTGGGGGCGTTTTGAGACTAGAAAATTGTGAGAATTCTTGCAATCTTTTTATCTTTGGTTGTTTTGTTCAAAATGTAGTTCTATTTGTCTTCTCAGTGACACTTTCTTTGGTTTCCTTTTTTCCCCCCAAATTTGCATCGACACTTATTTGTTGTATGAATTGAGCAGAAAGAGAGAAGAGGTAGCTGTATTGGAACAAGCTGCTGATGTCTACACCACTGAGTTTGAAAGGTTTATAACGTTTATCAGGTATTACTCCTATTTCTGTTTGCAATTGGGTAACTTTAAGTCATATGTCATCTTGATGATAATGATTTTTATCACTTTCATTATAATAACTATTATCATATTAGTTTTGACGTTTCAATTTACATACCCCTTTTGCTAGGGGTTTGATTTGACTATCCTTTTGATCCCATAAAAATGTGTAGAAGTGAAATTTTACAAATTATGGTAGCTTTCTTGTTTGTATATGCATGATAATACATGCACACTTAAACGCCAAAATAAATCTGTGTTGTCTTGCTGGCCTGCAAGCATGTCTTTCCTTTATCTTGCTGCTAGGCTGTGCTTATTCCTATATCAATTTATGTATGCATTTTTGTCAGCGAGGTCTTTGCAAATTCCCCCTTTTTTATCTCAGCAGAGGTTGCCGGTGCATTAGAAGGAAGGTCAGACTCCAGCTTTTTAAAAAATTGAACTTTACTTTTGTATTTTCATATCAAAACTTTTGTTAGTTTTTTTCTGTACAGGAATAATGATGATTACAAAGAGATAAGTGTTCCGGCTGGGAAAACTCATGAGGTTTGTTTACATATCTGCTTGTGAGACTCATTCTTTTTCCTTGTGGCTGAAGGTGATTTGTGCTCACATGCATGCGTGTGTGAATCTATTGATTCATTTCTAACAACTCTGGTTTAACAACTCAGCTAGGAATTAATATACCTTCATTACTCTTATAGGTTTCGTTGTCTGTGGACGCGATAAATTCATACATTGCTTGGGATTTTTCGCTTGTGCAAGGGAAGATAAACTTGGTATTGTTTGTTAACCGTTATTGACCTTCTTTTCTTTTCTAATTACTTTGTCTTTTTTCTTTGTATGTATGTAGAATATAATTGGCTACAGCTGTAATGTGCATGCTCCTGGCCTCATGATATTAATATATGTTCCAGTTGTTAAAATAGCTCGTATGCTTCTTTATGCAAAATTTATGACAGTGTAAATCCCATATTGAGATTTATGTTTGGTGGTCAGGATATTGGATTTAGTGTCGAGTATACAAATCCTTCTGGGGAAAAATCTGTAAGTTGAACTATGATGGTTTGGTTGTTAATTATACAATGTTTACTTTATTCTCCTCCTTTTCAACCTTCTATTTTTCTTTGTTCTGTTTTTCCTTTTTGCTTTCTCTTTTTAACATAATTGTTTTCTTGCAATGACACTGGGGCATTGGTGATTATACCACAGCTCATTTTACCTTACCATTGTTTGTTAACCGTTATTGACCTTCTTTTCTTTTCTAATTACTTTGTCTTTTTTCTTTGTATGTATGTAGAATATAATTGGCTACAGCTGTAATGTGCATGCTCCTGGCCTCATGATATTAATATATGTTCCAGTTGTTAAAATAGCTCGTATGCTTCTTTATGCAAAATTTATGACAGTGTAAATCCCATATTGAGATTTATGTTTGGTGGTCAGGATATTGGATTTAGTGTCGAGTATACAAATCCTTCTGGAGAAAAATCTGTAAGTTGAACTATGATGGTTTGGTTGTTAATTATACAATGTTTACTTTATTCTCCTCCTTTTCAACCTTTTATTTTTCTTTGTTCTGTTTTTCCTTTTTGCTTTCTTATTCCTCTTTTTAACATAATTGTTTTCTTGCAATGACACTGGGGCATTGGTGATTATACCACAGCTCATTTTACCTTACAGACGCTTTGAGTCTGACCAAGTAAGTTTAGCATTTCTGGTTGTGTGTGGTGTTAGAACACCATTTGATATTAAATCTCTTGACTTCTAAACTTGTAATCTTTTACAGGGAAACTTTTGCACATGCGAGGTTGGAAACTATAAGCTGCTTTGGGACAATTCATATTCAAGTTTCTTTAAGAAGGTGTGCAGACATGTTTGGGATCTCCTATTTTCAGTTTCTGTTTTTGTTTTACTACACCACTTTACTTGTCATATCATGCTTGAAAACAAGTCGGCCTTTTGGGTTTTAGAGTTGAAATATAATGGTAATGCAGAATTTCTTTTTATTTGCAAGTCACTGGAATTTCTCATTAAGAAGCATGCTTTTTCCCTATTAGAAAAAAGACACCTTCCATGCTATTTTAAACTTCAGTTTGACGTTTGAGCCATTAAGTTGTGTTAGCTCACTTCTCATTGTCAGGAGAATTGGCCTTTTTGCATATATTCCGAGCATGTATTTTTCAGTAATTCCATGTCGCTTGATATACTGGCTGCTATGTCTCCATCTTTACAAAAGCAGCTTAAGTAGGTCAGACGATGTTTGTGATCGAAAGCAAAATCTGACCTCTTCTCAATCTAACTAGACTTATTGTAGCTAGTAGCTAGCTACTCATATTCTGAAGGGTACTGTCATCTGACCTTTTTTCAATCTTTTTATGAACTGGTACCCTTTTCAGGCCTACGTCTATTGTATGTTGTACACCCAATATTGGAATTTTCTTACATTTATATCTTTATTATTTGCTGGAATATAGGCGCTGCGCTACAAGGTAGATTGCGTACCTCCAGTTGCTGAGCCAGTGGCACCTGCGACTGAAGCTAAAGAATGAGCTTCTTGGCAAATTGGAACATTTTATCTTCACGCCGGATAGATGCTGTCAGTAATTTCTGTTGCGTTGAATTGTATAATGTTATTCTTTTCTCCTTTTTTTTATACGTTGCATCTCCTGAGGTTGGACATCCAGATTGGTTTCTTTCATTATCAGGGCATGCGATTGATGGTACAAAATGTTGTATTATAGATCCTCTGTATATTACCTTTTTAGCTGACAATCAGTTATTGAAAATTCAAGTCATCAGCAACATTTCAATGATCATCCTCAAGTTTAATTAATGCAAAGTGGCTTGATTAGCATTTCTAACCAACGCCAAGTCCCGTTTCGGCACATAGAGATGAAGGGCTTGGGACTAAAGTGCATGTAAGGAATCCAGCATTTGGCAATTGTGGAGCAACCAAAAACCCAAAAGGCCAGCGAACAAGTTTCCCAGGGAATATAGACATTGAGTGACTACATACACGTTTAATTATTGCAAATTGTAAAAAAGTTTTAAAATCTAACAAAAGTACAGAAATCCAGTAGTTCAATAACAAGACAGAAAACTACGGTACAATCAACAAAGTACAGGTTAAGTGAAGGCATAAACTCGCTTTGCTGAATCAAGAGTGTTTGATAGGAGCATGGCAATTGTCATGGGTCCAACTCCTCCAGGCACTGGGGTGATGGCTGATGCCACCTGCACTGCTTCTTCATAGCAAACATCCCCCGTGAGGCGGTAACCATGCTCCGAGCTGGGGTCCTGCCAGTACAGTACAATACATATATATATGTGATTTAAAAGTAAAATGAAAGAATACGGCACAGTTATGTGATTACTTAATGCCACCGTTTTGTCAAATTGCCAAATTCAAAATGTTAATCAAAGGAGTCCAGTATTTACCTCAACTGGATTAGTTCCAACATCGATAACAACTGCTCCGGGCTTTAGCCAATTTCCACGGACCAGATTTGGCACTCCTGCCGCCGTGACCACAATGTCAGCTTCACAGGTGATAAGTTCTGGGTTCTTTGTGAAGGCATGTACAATGCTGACTGTTGCATGGTGCCTCTGCACAACAATTTGAAGAAAATTATGCCTGTACATTAGCATGTATGGATTGATTTTATTATTATGTCATTTTTGAAAGAGAATATAACATTACCTGCAACAGCAATGATGTGGGCAATCCAACAATGTTACTTCTCCCAATCACAGTAGCTTTCTTCCCCGCTATTTCCACACCAGACCTGAGCAACATCTCAATGCAACCCTTGGGAGTGCAGGGAATGAACAAAGGCTCCCTTCCTCTCATGGCAAGATTTCCCATATTAAGTGGATGGAAGCCATCCACATCTTTCTCTGGTCTCAGCACATCCAAAACTTTTCCCTCATCCAAATGCTGTCCCAGACAGTTTGTTGTAAGTCATTCCATACAACAGCAGCAAGTTCTGACATGTAATGAATCAAAACCTCAGCTATTTAGAAGCCACACAGGTGATCTAAGAGAAATTTCTACCCACTAGAGTGTTCATGGCTTAGGTCTCTCAGGTCTTGGGTTTGTGGTGGGGGTGTTCTTACCAATTCAACTGTGTCGGCTCGTAATCTCACAAGCCTGAAAACAAACCTATGGGCCAGCAAACCTAAAGTGACCCAAACTATGACAATGTTGGACTAACACAATCCAGATACCGTTTTGCCCAAAATGGGCAGAGATTTTTAAGGAAACATTTCCAAATCGAAATGTGCAGCAGGAAAATTCCAATTTAAAACCCTAATCACATGGATCTTTAGACAAAAAAGTTCAGGAAGCTTCCAGTTTGTGGGTGCTTACGGGAGAAATTCAAGTTAAGGAAGATTTCTAAAATAGGGGCATTCCCTTGAGTGAGGTTGATTCAGTTAAAGTGAGTACTACCAAGTATATAAATTTGTTTCATCATTCTTAACTAAATGATATCTGTAGTTGATCAACTGTCTTTAAGATTCAAAGCATTTTGAAAATACAATTGTATAACTTCAATTCTAATCTAGTTCTATTTGCAGAACAGCATATGCATACAATTAAAGGTTAAAAAAAAAAGTATTGGCACAGATTAAGAAATTACTTGTGGTAGAGGAAGTTGCACGAGAATACCGTGAACAGAGGGATCCGCATCAAAACTAGACAAAGCGCCAAGAAGTTGATCTTTTGTGCAATCTTCAGGCAGCTGAGCAACCATGGACTTAATCCCAACTTCTGCACAAGCCATCATCTTGTTACGGACATAAGTCTGAGAGTCCCTTCTATGACCCACCACAATCACCGCCAACCCAGGCACCATTCCAATGCCCTCTTTCATCCTCCTCACCTCACTGCCTATTCTTGTCCTAATTTCATCCGCAATAAACTTCCCATCAATAACAGTAGCTGTCTGCTCGTTAGCTGTGGTGGTGAACCAAAATGAATACTTTAACGCAAATCAAATTGTTAAAAACTGGGTTTTGCTCACACCATCAAATACCACTTAATTTACACACAACAAAGATTTGAACTTTTAATACTTAAGACCATAAGAAAGCAAATCAAAAGCAGAAAAAACCGAGTAAAGCTAGGCAGCAGAGATGGGCAAGCAGGAAACTTACAGGAACTTATAGGGGAAGAGAAACACGAGTGTGCAGGGGAGGGAGCCCAATCATCAGGTATGTCTAGAGAGACAAGAGGAGGAGAGATTACAATTGGGCGGCCATCGTCGTTTCTTAAGGTGTTATGGGCGCTTCTGCAGCAGCCTCTGCTTCCTGATGGAACTCTCAATCTCAGTCCATTCCGCCATGGCAATGCCACTCTCGGAATCATTAATTATGCTAACGCTACTGCTTCGGCTGTCCCTTGCCCCTCTTGCTTCTATTTCATTTGCGTCTTTCTCCTCTCGACCCTTTACAGCATAGCATTACTTACCTACAGAAAACAGAGGGCCCAATTCACTTCCAGGTGAAACCACAAGGCCCCAATCAAACACCAGGTAAACTATCTCCTGCACAAAAAGCCCATTCCTAACAGTTTGGATGGGATTTAGCCCAGCTCATTAGTCCGCCAGACATTCCTAACAGGTGGGTTGGGTGTACCATGTATGTGATCTGTTTTTAGGCTCAACCTGCCTGAGGATTGGCCCATTTGGCCTGCCCCCTTCCTTTTGTATTTTTCCCGACGATCGTCTTCCTTGAAAATATTTCCTCATTCTTGTCGTGTGGACAGAAGGGCTCCATATGTTGGTGAGGGTTCCACATGTTCTCTATGAGTGCTAGATGAGCACTAACACGAGCATATGAAGACTGCCACAAGAATATGAACAAACATAAATTCTTTGCATGGTGGAATTCATTGCATCATAAAAGAATATGAAGCCCGATATAATGTATCTTTTTCTCCTAATGATGTAATGGAGGGTCAAAATATTTGGCAGGAAGGAAAAGTTGAAATGAATTCATGAACATACGATATGAGATGGCTTGTTTTAACATGCCCAATAATTTTCTTCCCAAGCACACGAGGAAGAAAGAAGGAAAAAAAAAAAGACAAAGACAAAAATGGAAGAAGAAAAAAGGAACAAAAAAACAACAATAGAACAGTGTGTGTGCATGGGTCGACAGTGAGAATCTCCATTGAGGGAAACATTGGAGATATTCTGGTGGAATCACTCGAATGTAATTTTCCTCTCTTTCAATTAATTGAAGCCAAAAAAAAAAAGGTGTGTATCATAATTTGCATGGATCAGTATGCCCACATCACAAATCAAATCAAATCGAAAATTTTATAATTAAAAAAATCTGAAATTCCAATTTGGATTGGGTGGGCATGCATGATTGTGTGCTGTTCTAGATGAATTATGAACATTTGTTAAGACGAAGAGCAGCAAGTTTTGGCCTATGCAGTCAGCCCCTTCCTAAATTTGATTTTAAATTTTTAAATGGATGCATTTGTTGTGTTGTTAAGCCTCGAATGTTTGGTACAACTTGGTGCGTCTTTTTCCTATCAAATGCAGATTATCGCTTCTGCATCAATATTTTTTAACGCAATGTGCATGCATTCTTCTATGCTCAAGTTCAATTGCATGTGACCTGCCTCAATTTTGATCAATCGCTTTAACATGACAATAAGACATATCGACACCGTCCCCTCTCACGATACCTAACAACGTTACACGTGTATATATGTGTATGTGTACGCACACGCGCGATGGTTGGATTATAAGTGCAAACGAGTGGAAATGCTTGTGTGTTGAGTGGTGATGTGTGGGATTCAAGTGCATGTGCTATTATTAGTTTGAATAAGCAATGTGCTAGTCCAATGATGTGATTATAATGTACTGAATCGCGGAAGAAAAATTTCTAATAAAATATACCAAAACCGACATGGGTTTGCTGAAAGAATTCCATTTTGACGGCCTACTACATGGTTCAAAATTGGAATGAAAAGTCGTAGGTCATCAACAATGGTGAGTTTTATCCAAAATGTGTCTTTTCAATATTGCCAAGAATGATTATTGGGTAATTATTATTGGAATCAGCAGCTGAGTAGAGATGTTTGATGTGGTTATAAATTACAGCGTTCATACACCAAAAGCTGAATGCATCAAAGTCTACACTGTGGTGTGGGGTAGATTTTAGGGCACATCACTTGTTACCTCCAACAAAAGGTTTTTGTTGTCATCTTTGCAATTATATACACAAATCAAATCAGAAAGAAAAAATTACTACCTTAATTTCACTCCTTTATGATTAAAGTTTTGAGTTTAGTGACATCAAGTTGGACTTGGATAAATAGGGGTTTGGGATTGGAGAAAGACTTTTATGCAATAGGGAGAACACTTTTTGTTATTCCCGGTGAGTAACGCAATGACACGTGGGATAGGGGTAACAAAATAGTACTATCCCGGTTACAAGTAAGTTTTTATGCTGGAATTGAGTTTGGAACCTTGTGTGCCGAACAATGTTGCTATATTTGAAAATTCAAACAGAACAAAAATCAAATAAGACCAAAAATCATCAGCGTATGTGAGAATGGAATTACCAAATGAACCCAAATGGAATTCTGCCCTACCTCTATCTGTCTTTTACCCTAATGTATTATGCCATGTCATTCTCATGACTGTCATACGTACATTCACAAAAAAATAATTTATGTACTAAAAATCTTTGTACAAACAGCACTTTCCAGATTTCAATTCTTTAGTTGCTGCTGCTTGTTTTGATATCTTCCAAAATTTCAAAATTATATATATGAATAGTAATATTCAAATTATGGAAAAAAATACGTTGCGAATAATGTTCAGAATGGTACTGGGAAGACCCACATTAGGTTAGGGTTGGATGATGCTGAGGGGGGGCCAGAGTCTCAAAGTGCCGTACTGTCATACTGTCACAGAACAATATTATTATATTTTTCTGTGCTGATATGATATGAAAGGAAAAGAAGCTAAAGAAACAAACAAGAACAGAAACTTAGATAATGAGACATGCATGGCGATGGTGGTGCTGTAAAAAGAAAGAAACAAGAAAAAGGTGAAAAGGGAAAGTGAAAAACCAAAAAAACAAAAAAAAGGCTGAGCAATGGAAATTCAGAAAGTGGTCGAGAGTTCCTGGCATTTCAAAAATTAAACTGACTCTGTGTTTGGTTCTGCAATAGGGGTGGGTGGTGATGCGTCTCTTTTTCACGTGTTGAAGTTTGCGATTCAAAGGCTTTGTCAGTCAGAATTCAGAAAGAGAAAAAGGAAGAGAGAGAGAGAGAGAGAGAGAACGACGGTCCAAAAGACGAATAACTTTTTACATGCACACCATAAAATCAACTTACTTCACAGCTTCCATCTGTTAGATAATTACAGTAAAGTAGGTTTGATCTTTCTCTCTCTCTCTCTCTCTCTCTCTTAATATATTTTAGTTCAAACAAGTCAGCCTACTTTTTGGTGGTATAAACGTGCTGCTTTTTGTTCATTTCTGTTTTGGTTTCTCTCTCTCTCTCTGTGCCAGTTCTCAAAGAAACTTTGTTAACTCTGAAGGTGGAAGATCTGGCATTAACGAATTCCAGTTCAAACAAGTCAGCCTACTTTTTGGTGGTATAAACGTGCTGCTTTTTGTTCATTTCTGTTTTGGTTTCTCTCTCTCTCTGTGCCAGTTCTCAAAGAAACTTTGTTAACTCTGAAGGTGGAAGATCTGGCATTAACGAATTCACTCAAATTATAACATGTATATTACTTAGTCGGTAATACTAAACTCGTAACACCATGCGATAAAATGTTAGCATGTCACGTGAGTTTAACATCCAACTCCTAATCTAATTAGACAAGTGCCTGTCTGTGCATGGGGTGGGAGAATCAAACAAGGACAAAGTTACTGCTAAGCTTGGTCAAAGTAAGTAAAAAAAGTAAAAAGTAAAAAATATATAAACATATAGAAGAGGAGAAGAGATACTATACAATAAAAAAAGAGCAAGAGGAAAAAGTTGATGTGGAAAATGCAGTTGAAAGCAAAATGTCAAACACTAGGCTTCAATTTTCAGGAACTGAGGTTTGACAGCTACTTCTCTTCGGGGCTCGGTCACGAGGAGGAGCCTCCAATATTTTTTTATTATTGAGATCTGCCTTTCTATATTAATTACCTCAAACCCTAGTAGTAGAGCAGGTGGGAGGAAGGGCCTAAATGTAAAAATATTTAGACTAATAGTAATTTATATGATTTAATCAAGCTAGTTTACAATATCAACGCAGCTATTTTCCTTGCTGTTAACGAAGCAGCAATTCAAAAATATTACTTTTAGGCCCCCGGTCTTGGAATGAGCGTGACATGTTTTACTTGGTAATGTAATCTCTAAATCTAATTAGAGAGTAATTAATTAACTAGGGTAGCAACGTTTTCCCATGCGAATATTGAAATTTCAAAACTTTGAAAACAATGAAAAGAAGTTGACCCTGTATGTGAAGAAAGACTTTCATGAAATTTTGTTATCCCCGGCTAATAACACTATGATATTTTCACATGGCATATCATTATTGGCTGAGTATAACAAAATAAATTCCAAAATGAGAAAGTCAAATACATAGATATCAAATGCACTAGTGTTGGAATTAATTACGCGTCCTTTTCTTGAACCAAAAAGTAAATTCCAAAATGATTAAAGATTTAATTAAGTTGTACTGTATCGTAATTAATTAAACAAAACAATGCATGATCAGACATTTTTCATCCGGCGGAAGGAACAACAACAACAAATGTATGTCACAATTATGTCTTTATGTTTTCATATTGCCACTTATGAAATAAAACACTTTCGTTACTGTGAACTTTGTAAACCATTTTGTCACCAAGAAATTTGGCAACATGCAAATGTACGATGGTTGTCTTGTCTCTCCAGTTTGTCATGACTCATCGTGACGTGGCAAAATATATATAGCAAATCTCCTTTTTTTTTTTTCCTGTAAAGTTCAAGTTCAATGATTAATTAGCTTAATCACATGATTCACTTAAATAATATGTTTAAGAAATTTATGTATCATGGCTAGCTAGGGTTTATAAGGTACGTTACTATTAAATCTGTTTATAAGGTAAGTTAGTGTTTTTAGAAAGGTTAAACACACTTTTGATAGCATTTAGCAAAAAAGTTTAGAAGCGCTTATGCTTATAGGTCATATAAGCCCTTTTCTGATAAGCATTTGCTATGTGCTTCTTCAGGAAGCACTCCCAAGTGCTTTTCCAGGAAGACTTGGATTTTTTATATTGAAAATTCAAGATTAATTTTTATAATAAAAGTGCTTATAAACAAAAGTACTTTGCAGAGAAGCATTCCCAAACGAGCCTGTAATTTTAGGCTCAACTGTGATTGAAAGTTCGACAAAATTTAAGAGTGGTTGCTGTTGCAGGCCCTGCAGTGGCAGTGCCCAAAATTGGTAAAAATTTGAGGTGATAATTTCATGGAAACTAAATGCTCTCATCAAATTGAAGAAAGAAAGGGGTTGGCACGTTTAATTTGTGGCAGGTGGATAATTAAATGAAGATATTAAATAAGGTAATTTGATTAACTTGTAGCGCTAGGGTTTTTGTCTTGTGATTGTACCCAGTAACAATAAGGTTGAAGAACTCTCCCAGAGACATCAATGCACATCATAGTAATGGTCGTTCCCATATCCGAACATGAATGAAAACGTCAAACACTTAAAGACGAGCCACACAGAAACTCCATTACTCCCAATCTGCCACTCAGAAGCCACAGCTAAGCCCACACCCTTAAATCTTTTTTGGACGAGAGCGTTATTCTAAACTATCCTAATGTATAGTCTCCGAGAGGAGGTTCGAACTCGGATACAAGGGAAAGGACACTACCTATTTGCATTCTCATTTGTTTGTTTGTTTCCATCGCTGGCCTAGCTTTGTTTCCCATTAAACCATTAAATAAACCAAAGGCCAAGAAGAGTTTAAATTAAGTTTTCAAATTCATCCATCCATAAGCAGACGTTTAGCTAATCGCCACTCCCATTTTCCCAGCACGAGCAAAACCTCTCATCTGCAATTTTTTTTAAAATTTTCTTCTCGGTTATGGAAAAACCCAGATGCATCCAAAAGACATAGCTACGGCGGACTTATATTATTTAAATCAGAAAACAGAGAATAATAAAGGGTAGCTTAATTTAGTACTTGGGAGCTCGTGTTGGGTTGAGACTTGAGCAAGAGAGAGAGAGAGAAGAAGGAATCCCAAAGCTGCTGTCCCAATCTTTACACCGTTATCTGTTTGGGATATTGCAACCCCCCATCTTCTTCCTTTGCATTTCTGCTGAGCTGAGATCCCATTTCATTATTTCTTCTATGAAGACGAGCAAAAAATATCAAACACCTTCTTCTACTCTCTTTGTCCCTGTCATATTTAGTACCAGCTGCAGGTCCTCCAGGATCTCCATCAATCTTCTTCAACATGGCTGCTTGTGCTTTGCTTGGTGATCACAATGGCGACCATATAAGCGGCAATGGCAGCAGCAACAACAACAGCCATGGCGGTGGAAGCCCATCTTGTCCGATGACAAGCACCACAAACTCCAACAGCCAAGGCAGCAGCGTAGAGCAGCAACCACCTCGCCAGCACCAAAACCAACAACAGCAGCAGCGACAGTCGACAGAGGGATCGAAAATGGTGAGAAAGAGAATGGCTTGTGAGATTGAAGTTCAAAACAACCCAACAAGCAGAAACACAAGTGCTTCTGATTATATGAGGCTTTCCCGTCGGAGCAGCAGCATTATTAATAATAATCCAAATCCAAATGCGACCAAAGTGAATAATAATTCTATGGTTTATCCCAACTACTCCACTATGCTGTTACCAGTACCATCTTCCACAAATTTGACAACTTTGACGTCAGCTGGTGGGGCTTTATCACCTGCTTCTGCTTCTGCTTCTTCCGCTGCTGCTTCTGCTGCCAACTGGGGTCCTATTGACCCACTGTCACTTCATCACCATCATCAATCAGGAGCACTTCCTCCTCATCAGCTTCAGCTTCAGCCCCAGACCCTCACCCCTGCCGTTTGTGGGTTTTCGGGTCTGCCCTTGTTCCCACCCGAAAAGACGACTCCTTCGAATCAAAGTACTGCAACTCCATCCTCCATATCCATATCCATGGAAGACAGCTCCTCCGCCACGGCGTGGATCGACGGCATCATCAAGGACCTCATCCACAGCTCCACCAACGTCTCCATCCCTCAGCTCATCCACAACGTCAGAGAGATCATCTTCCCTTGCAACCCCAACCTCGCTTCTCTCCTCGAGTACAGGCTCCGCTCCATATCTGAGCCTCCTCCACCTCCTCCTCCCATCCCGAACTTTAACCCCGCCACAGTACCAGAGCTCAGGAGAAGAAGAGAAGCTTTACAGCTTCAGCAGCAACAAAACCAACATCATCATCATCATCATCATCAAGGTCCTGGGGCTCTCAAGCTCAATCTCGACTCGGCTACCCTACATGACGTCGCCATTTTCACGAACCCAACAACAGCTGAGACTGCTTCTGTTGCTACCCACGTGATGAACAGCAATGATTTGTACTTGCACTCATGGACAGGAGGTGGAGGAGGAGCTGGTCCTACCCCTATCACCTGTAGCCAAACAAACCCTCACCACCCAAACTCTCCTTTCAATCAGGCAATTCATCATACACAAGATAAGCAACTAGAAAACTCTTCATCCTCATCCCCTGCGGCCGAGTCCACAACACCCACCGCTGCACCCGCCACCACAACTACAGCCACAACAACCCCCACTCCACCGCCAACAACACCATCGGCGGCAGTGTCCCTAATCAGAGAGAGAAAAGAAGAGATGCGGCAGCAAAAGCGAGACGAAGAAGGCCTACATCTCCTCACCCTCCTCCTCCAATGCGCCGAGGCCGTCTCGGCCGACAACTTCGACGAAGCCACCAAAATCCTCCTCGAAATCTCCGAGCTCTCCACCCCATTCGGCACCTCCGCCCAGCGAGTCGCCGCCTACTTCTCGGAAGCCATGTCGGCGCGCCTCGTCAGCTCCTGCCTGGGAATCTACGCCTCCCTCCCTCCCTCCTACGTCCCAATCAGCCACACCCAGAAAATGGTCTCCGCCTTCCAAGTCTTCAACGGCATCAGCCCCTTCGTCAAGTTCTCTCACTTCACCGCCAATCAGGCGATCCAGGAAGCGTTCGAGAGAGAGGACAGGGTGCACATAGTAGATCTGGACATCATGCAGGGCCTGCAATGGCCTGGGCTTTTCCACATCCTGGCTTCGAGGCCAGGTGGGCCCCCCTACGTGAGGCTTACCGGGCTCGGGACCTCCATGGAGGCGTTGGAGGCCACCGGGAAGCGTCTGTCTGACTTCGCTGATAAATTAGGGCTTCCGTTCGAGTTTTTTCCTGTGGCGGAGAAAGTGGGGAGTTTGAACCCGGAGAGGTTGAACATCAGCAAGAGAGAAGCTGTGGCGGTGCATTGGTTGCAGCATTCGCTTTACGATGTCACTGGTTCCGATTCCAATACGCTCTGGCTTTTGCAGAGGTAACGTCTTTCTCCATCTCTTCATCCATTTGATTCTTAAAATATGATGAAAAATTCAAACTGGGTTTCTTTTGCTTTGCACTTTTTGGTGTCTTTGATCGATGTTGCTAATCAAAGTGTCAAACTTTATGAAGCTAGCTACCGCTGACCATGTATTAAACAAATAATGTTTTACTGCACCATGCCACTACGACCTATATCTATCTATCTATCTATACTGCAACCTATAAAAAGCTGCCCTCAATCCTTTTGCACGTATTGTTGGTCATAACATACATTATGGGAAAGAAGCAAAATTTAATTTTGATTTGATGTTTCAATGTAGATGTTTTATTGTATACTAATTGGGTTTTGATTGTTGCATGTGTTTGGGGATGTCGATTCAGATTGGCACCAAAAGTAGTGACGGTGGTGGAACAAGACTTGAGCCACGCGGGCTCCTTCTTGGGGCGGTTTGTGGAGGCCATACACTACTACTCCGCCCTGTTCGACTCTCTCGGAGCGAGCTACGGGGAGGAGAGTGAGGAGAGGCATGTGGTGGAGCAGCAGCTGCTCTCGAGAGAGATCCGGAACGTTCTGGCTGTCGGAGGGCCGTCGAGGAGCGGAGAGGTGAAGTTCTACAACTGGAGAGAGAAGTTTCAGCAGAGTGGGTTCAGAGGGATATCTCTGGCTGGAAATGCAGCAACACAAGCCACATTGCTGCTTGGGATGTTTCCTTCTGATGGGTACACTTTGGTGGAGGACAATGGCACTCTCAAGCTTGGTTGGAAGGACCTTTGCTTACTCACTGCTTCTGCCTGGAGGCCTCCCTTCCATGCAACCACCAACCCCAACCTTCACTATTGAGTGAGAGCTTTTGCTTTTATGGAGATGTATGTATAATGAAATGAGTGTTTGAAGGTGGTAGCTTAGGCGGTTCATGAGTTTGAATGTATTATCTTGTTAATGCTTAATTACCATCATTATGCAGTTTAATTATTTTTTTATTTGAGATCTCTCGGTTTGGAGTTTTGGAAGAAATTTGGGTCTGGTATTTGGGCTTGATCCAGGCTATTTATGGGCTCCAAACCTCTATATGAAAAACCTTAGAAAACCCAACAGGTAACCCAGAGAGTAGCAGGCCGATGCATAACACAAGCCACATTTTCCTTTAGGTTCAAAGGAGGCCTAAGGGCTGGAGAGAACCGAAAGACGGTAACCAATTTAATCCAACTGTTAAGATACAAGTTTTTAGATAATGCCCTCACTCTAGAGTTCTACCGAGAAGATGACAATTGACAAGCCAGATGATTTAATTGATTTGTTTAAAGAACAACAAAATTGATACAAGATATAAAAAAAAAAAAATATAGTCCATTGACATCACCTAAGACAAAGATAAATAAATAAAATACAATCTCAGAAGAATGATTTCTCTGAAAGGCATAGAGACTACTTGCTCTCTCAGCCAACTGTCATTTATATCACGAATGGTAATTGAATCTAATTGGACAAACAAACAATAGCACCCTTCCTGTGTACAGAATTATTTGCACAGCTTTTCCACTCAGCAAAAAAATTTCTTCAAATCACTCCCTGGATTTGTCCATCAAATCACCTTTCGTTTCCCCAAAGACGGTAATTCAGAAACTTAGCAGCCTTCCAGGAGCTCCATCCTTCTGCTCTTTGCAAAAATAAAAACAAATTTTTTTATGTCTTATTTACCAAAAAATTACAATTATGTGATTGTCAAACTCAGCGCGGCTATCACGTCCTCGCTTTGGAAGCTTGATAAAAAAAATAATTATCAGCACCCACAAAATAGACATCCATCTTTTAATGCTTCTGGATCCCCATATTTCGGAGAACCTCTTGCAGTAAAACCAAGGACAACCAGCTCATCATGAATTCCAATTGCAGTCAGTCAAGAACTGATCATCTCGGTTCACAAAATTCTTCCAGTAACCTTTATATTTTGGGATCCCTAACTCAAGCCAAGGTTTCATCTTTCCATTATAGTGCAACACTGCAGCATTCCTGATTGGATAGACATCTACATTATAGTCATGACCCAGTCCAGAGAGAGCCCAAGAACCATCAAGAGGATAAATCAAATCCTGAAAGGTACGCAAGCTCGCATGCAGTGCAACAGCTTCGTTTTGCGCCTCTTGCGTGCTCACCTGCCCATGCAAACACGTCAGAAAATATGAACGAATGGGCAGTGTTTTAACAAAATAAAAACTAAGACAAAAAAATGCACTGTTTCAAATGACAATAACATTTCACCAAATTTGATGTAAAACAATGAGTTCAAGCAGTCAATCCTTCTGTAGTGACTCTAAGTTAAATTTTCTCTCTCTCTATTTTAAAAAGATTTCAAATAATTAGCATCACCATGACCACAGGTTAATCAAAGAATAATTGCACTGGTTAGATATTAGGTGAACTTACAATGTAACTCACCTCCTTCACAAACTTTTGGTAAGTTTCAGTGAGATCAAGCTCTCTCCACTTAACCAGATCAATCACATTCAATCCAGACATCCAAGCACATGAATTTTTATTGAAACTGTTCTCGCCAAGATAGCTCTTCAACAGACTTAACTTCACTGAGCAGAACTGCACAGCGGCATTAACTTTCCCTTCCATGTTGAGGTTCCATAGTGCAGACAAGTCCTGCTGGACAACAACATCATCATCCAGAACCACAACTTTCTCCAAATTCTGGAATATCTCAGGGAGACGATAGTGTAAATGAGAAAAAGTAGATAAGTACTCCGTTCTACTTTGGGCATCAATGCTACGGGAAACACGGAACTCCACAGGCAGTGAAAATTGTAATTTCTGGTTGTTCAGATCAAGCCGCTCCATATTTAACACCTGAATCGTGGCTTCCTTATATGTATTTCTAAAGAACCATAGTTTCATTGCGAAGTAATTCTCTTCATCCGTTAGGACGTGAAAAACCAGTTTCCCACTTTCCTGAAACATTGCAAATTAGTTAATTAGCGCCATCGTGAGAACAAAAGGAAACTAGCAGCCAAATACGCATGGGAGAATGTCTATTACATACTTTTGCATGCATTACAGTTGAGTTTATTACAACTGACGATGCAAGTACATTAGTGGAGAATATGACATAGTGCTGCAATGCACGATCAATGTACTTGTCAGCCAGAGAGGCCTCTGTATCGTCAAAAGTAGATCTGAAATATTCCACAGTCAGTCTCATTGAGAGGCAGTGGAGGCTCTTGGGCATAGTCTGGACTACAAGTTGGTAGAGGAAAACACTTTGTCTCATGTGGAAGTTAGCTTCATCCTCAGTCAAATCATATATTTGTCTCAGTTTCTTGTCAACATTATTACAATCCACATGGAACGATTTGGCTCTGGCTATTGCAGCTTGCATCCTTTGTAGCTTCTTCCCAATCCTGATGGAACAATTGGCATTGTGCTTAGTTTATTGGGAAAGCCAGAAACATTGTCAATAGCCCATGTTAGAAGATATCCATGAAAACCAGCATAAGAACTCACTGGAGCAAAATTATAAAACCCAAACAGCGGCACGCCAGAAGTAAAAAATAAATTACGACAATTTATGCACTTTACAAGGTGGATGCGACAGCCAAACTCAGCCAGTGGATCTTAAAAAGTCAATTGTAAGTACCATGGATGTGGGTAGTAAAAACCATTATCTTATTTTTGGTTATCATTGATGATGGAACAAAGGGAAATAATGAATAGTTTCCATGACTTACTGTGGTGGAAGATCAGCATCTGTGGTACTTTCACTAAGAACACGCTCCACCTCTTGAATATTTTGTCTCATTTCACGTGACAACTTGTCCTGTGATGGAAGTTTTGCAATACTAGGATAATATGCTCTCGCCACAAATAGGTTATCCTTCAATCTCTTCACCATAGAATCCTTCATGTCTTCTCTATGTTGTTCACGCCAAAGGCAGTAGCTCCCAAATTTCAACTCACATGATTTTCCACTTTGATCAACACCACCTTTCGCGTAATCAATGATTTGAACTGAGGCACCAGCTTTAGGGTTCTGTCACAAAAACTCAAATTAAACAGAGCAGAAGACAATAGCTATACAATAACTAGAATATGATGGCATGTCAATCAGATTCCAAAGGGAAAAAAAACGACAGATTCATGTATACATTTTCAATGGGAAGTGATTGCAGATCATCATGAGGGGTGACTGAAAATCCTGCAATTATTGAAAAAACAATTTTCAAGTTAATATCTATTACATTGTAACCAAAAAGGATAATGGCAAACCTTTGAAGGCATTGAGCTAACAGACCTTTTTTCTCCTCATTGTCGTGCATGGCACTTGGACTTTTGGTTTCATTTTCAGCTGGATGTGAAATATTCTTTAGTATATCCTGGCACAAAATAATAAAAGGTAGTAAAAACAATCAGGTCACCGATAACTTTAGATGCCTGCATCACATCACTCAAATTATTAACCCTGTGATGTACATTATATACCAAAAGAAAATATTGCTGCAATCGTTCCTACAGGTCTTAAATGTCAAACACATCAAAGTCAAAAAAATTGATTCCCATGTCATGCGTTAGTGAAAAGCTGCCTTAGAAAAAAACCGCCTGAACGTTGAAAGGTGGGTCCCCCATGATACAAATTCTCTTAATTATGCAACAACTGTGGAAGACGGGGAAGACCGGTGAAACAAATAGAGCCATAAAAGGAGAAACTTTGGCTTCAAGTTGAGTGAGGAAGGTAGAACTAAGTATGATAATTGATTAAATGTTAAAACTTCATAAATCAAAAGCAAATTTGTATGTTCCAAAACAATGAAACAATCGCAATTCGTTTTCATCTTTTCTTAAGGTACACATGCTATAGTTGAAATACAGAGCCACATTTTTTCCCTATATATATTACAATTGACTAGAACCAACCAAGTGCAGTTTAAAATGATTCATTCATTCTTTTCTTCTATTTCCTCCAATTCACTTTTATCCAACTTACTCCACTTTCTCTGTAACCCTTATTCCACTTCCTTCCACCAATCACAGATAGTGTGCCTAATTCATTTAGTACATAGTGTACTTTCGATATACACATATCCTCTAGCTCCCGGATTAAAAAGATCTAAAACACATGATATGGAAGAACTCTAGATGTTAGCATATATTGACAGGTACAGATAAAAATTCTAATAAGTAGTTCATTTTACGAATGAAATTGACAGGTAAAGAAGATGCAAGCAAAATTAGGTAATTTTCATATTTTGTTTACACCTTGATGTCCATTAGTCCTTTTCTGTTTCTATTAGGGCAAAGGATAGGAACATTATGTACACAACAGCTGGGGATTAAACCTTGAATCTACCTCCACCCTTGATCATGCCACTACACCCAATGCCTATTGGCCCATTAATCAAGTTATTGGATTTAGCCAATGCCTAAAAACAAGAAAAGTAAAATGAAATCCTGCCAATTTCATGAAACTCATTAATTTATTAAGGTGAATTAAAGGGTGCATTACTCAATTATTTCGGAGCTTATTTTGTATTATAGTTGCATTTTCCATAGTTATTAGCATTTTCCGAGGACCGTCCTACCACATAAAGTTCTTAGATGACCAGGGTGGAAGAAAGTTGACAAATATCATAGGTGAAGGCACACAGCCAGCCTTAGCAGTAGAATAGATGCCGTTACTTCTTTCAGCCCCTTAGATTTACAATTAAGACTTTCCAGCATTACTACTCTTATGTAGATGACACAAATTCCTAGCATAATTCCTCTTCATGAGGCACAAGGTCCACTTTTAAAAGAATTTTAACATGAAATCACTGCCTTTATCAATAAATGTCACGCATTTCAGTCATCTGGAAGCTAAGTGATGAATCATCTACAGGCCTATTTCTCTATAACTAATTAAGCTACACAGTACTAATAAAATGAAAACAGCGGAATCAAACGAAGAAGGTAATAAAGTATTGACCATCAGAGCAATATGCAACAAACCTTTGAAAGGGTTGGTGCAAATTGTTTCACAAGATCATCTACATGGTTTGAACGATCCCCCTGCAAGAAACCAAAGCATCACTAATTTATCTTCATCAATGTGTTTCTGTATGCGAATTTGATTTAAAGAGGTGGGTAGTTAAATGGTACCTCTGAAAGATTAGAAGCATCTCTAATGATGATTTTTGTACCATATCCTCCCAGACCAATCTGACAGCCATTAAAAAAAAAACCAAAACCAGAAATAAACAGATCAACACCAAGAATGTGGGAAACAGAAAACAGTGCTAAACTAACATAACCAGGTTCTAGTTCTTACTGAAGGCGAACTTTGTTGTTCTGAACCTGCATATTTTGAAGAAGAAAAAAAAAAAGTCGAGATGTGAGAGAGATCCAAACTGCCATTGCAATGGTTAAATCGGATCTGAGACAAATACAGAAACAGATCTAAAAACAAAGAAATTTTAGAGTCATATAGTGAGTGAGTGTTAGTTACCGGGAGAGTGAAAGCCATTGTGAAGGCCGAGAAGGAAGAGAAGAGGAACGAGCATGGAAAGAAAAACCAGACCCAAAACTGCAATCACCAGGCCTCTCCATCTCCGCTTCCCTGAATAAACACCACCCCCACCCCCTCCCTTCATCTCTCTCTCCTCCTAGTCCGATTTCATACCCACCAATCCCATCCTCTAATCCCACGATTAAGCAACAATTATCAACAATTAACACCAATTAACAACAGCCCTTCTTCGTCCTCTTCCTCTTGCGCTTCTTCTTGCTGTTGGGTTCTTATTGTTATCAAATGCAAAGCCTCACTCGCAGCCGCATCAACAAGTAAAGCGCTTTTCTTCTTCTGTGGCATGAATCATTCTAATGGCTTTATGGGTTGTTTATGAGCTCACAGTATCTCTGTCCCCCACTGCGATTCAATCAATGTCAAGCCTGGAGGATGGACAGTACGGCACAGATTGGATTTCCTTCTTTGACACAAACTCTGATTTTCTCTCTGCGAAAGGGGTGAAGAAGAAGAGAAAGAGCTTACCGTACACTAAAGTTTTTTTTCCTTTCTTTTGTTGTTTTTGGTTTTTTATTTTTGGAGTTAAATCTTTACCTTCGGTTAACGCCTTGTGTTTGTTATAATTCTTTGGGGTCAGATCCAATTCTCACATCTGTGAGAATATCACTCGTGACTGGACTCTTCCTTTAAAGAGCAAAAAAAAAAACCCAAATTAAGAATTATTTTTCTCGTGATGTGATCATTGTAATACGCCTTTTTCGTTTTTATTTTATTATCTTTTAATCTTTTTTTTTAGTTCTATTTATGTTTGGTAGTTAAATTCTTTTTTATGACTATGCTATCCACATCTCGGAATGCCACCAAAAACAGAAAATATAGCAGTTGCCCAATTTTATTTATTTCTTTTTTTGCTACTTTAAAATTTACCCAACCTGAGATATTGATCTAGTAGTAGTAGAGTTGGCCCTGTATTTGAACTCTATCAATTGGGGAAATTAAAGAATTTTATAAAGGAAAGGCTACTTTTATTCAGAAAACTCAAAGGGATTGTTAATCGTTGATGCGTGCACGGATGGTCGAGAAAACCCTTTTCATTGTATATAAGATATTCTTTAAACAAACTATACAAACAGAATCCAGATTGTAAAATTTGGGAAAAGCAGTGAATCCTAACACAACACAATTCTGAAGGTGATCATGGTACAAAACCCAAAGTAGTAAAATTTCGATGCCATCTTTCAGGTCTTACTAAAACTTCCTTGCATCCAATCTGAAAAAATAAAAATAAAAATAAAAATAAAAATAAAAACTTTGTAGCATTCGAGTTTGAAGCCCCTAGGAACATTGTAACATAACATACTAAATTTCTATTTGGCAATTGAAATGAAAGACCACTATATATTCTTTTCCAGTATCTACTTACAAATATGGATAGAGAAGAGAAGGTACAATTACAAAAGAAGAAATTAACTCTGCTGCAGGCATTTGCTACTACTTGGGTTCAATCTTTGCCGAAACTGCGTATCCACCACTGTAATCAAAGGCACCAGTGCTGTCATTCACTTCCTTTTTCGGCAAGCCAAAGGCACCAGTGCTGTCATTCACTTCCTTTTTCAGCAAGCCATTGTTGTACGGATGCTTAGGAGCTCCTTTTGATGCTGCAAATTCCGTGGCTGATGAAGATGCTAATTTTGAGTTTGTGTTCATGCCATCATTCTGCAGAATGGTTTCAATAGCCTTCACAAGCTCACTCATTGTGGGGCGGTCTGCAGCTGATTCTTCAACGCATTGCAGGGCCAACTCCAGGAACCTCCCAAACCCAATAAGAGTTCCAGAGTTTCGAATGCTTCGATCCATTAACTCCCTCAAACCATAGTGTTCTTCATCATTCTTGTCCATCATCAATCGTACCTCACGGACGATGTATTTTCCCTTCTCAATAGGCTGCCTAGCCGTTATCAATTCAAGCATCACCACTCCAAAGCTGTATACATCACTCTTCTCAGTTAACTGTTGAGTCATGTAGTATTCAGGATCAAGGTATCCCTGCAAGAACAAAACAGAAACTTAAGAGTAAAAACTCAAGAATGTGTCAATGGGATGAATATATGTTGAAATGCTAATAACGTAAAGCTTACCAGTGTGCCTTTGACCTGAGTTGAGACATGCCCTTTTCCACTGTCAGCTACCAGCTTGGACAAGCCGAAATCTGCAACCTTTGCGGTTAAATGTTCATCTAATAGAATGTTGGTGGACTTGACATCTCTGTGAATTATAGGAGGATTTGCAAGCTCATGTAGGTAAGCTAGTCCTCTTGCCGAGCCAAGAGTGATGCGGAGTCTCCTCTTCCAATCAAGATGAATACCAGATCTCCCTGCAATTCATATTTAAGCAAAGGTGAAGTTGGTAACTATGTCTATTGCAAACAAGTTATCTCTATGCAATATGAAATAGCTGAGAGTAAAATCTTTGAACTAACCTGACAAGCTTTCCCTGAGTGTTCCATTAGGCATAAACTCATAAACCAGCATCTGTTCTCCTTGTTCAAAACAAAATCCCAAAAGGCCAACAACATTTTTGTGATGAACTCGTGAGAGCAACTCGATTTCAGTCTTGAACTCAAGGCCTCCCTGCATTGATCCTTGCTGAGCTCTTTTGATTGCCACCACTTGTCCATCAGAAAGCATGCCCCTGTAAACCTATGGACAACCAACCAAAAGGTAAAAAAAAAAACATCCTTTACCTTGAAGCAGAATTTCATAGATGTTACTGAAATACTTGAATTAATATACCTTCCCGTATCCGCCAGATCCTATCTCATTACTGTCAGAGAAATTATTTGTGCATTTCTTAAGCTCATCATAAGAAAACCATCTTGCTCCCTTTAACTGTGGTGCACCACCACTATCTTTTCCGCTTGGTGCCCAAGAAGCTAGAAGATAGAGAAAAGAGTGATATAAGCAATCCAACTTCTAATGTCAATGACAGAATTTCAATGTACCCAATCATAAACAACAAGAATAATTAATTACCAAAAGGTCGGCTTAATCCAATGGCTCTTTCTGCACGTTTCTTTTGCCTAATGGCATATATTCCCACTACCACGAGGCCCAGTACAAGAACTACACAACTAACTGATATCCCAATAATAACACCAGTGCTCATAGAACTTTTATTCCCACCTGAAACAATTTTGGGTTTTTATTGTCAGTTTAATCAATCTTCTAATGCAGGGAAATGGCATATGAAGTAACGATGCGATTTAAATTACCTGGGAAAGTATAAGGAGCTGGAATAAAATAATAGGGTCCAAACTCCTCCGGTGGCTTGTAAGTTTGGTTGCTCAAATCAAAACCAATCCTTATAATCTCTGACCTATTAAAATATGTTCCTGTAGGTGGAAAGAGTGCCAGCTGAATTTGAAGGTAGTCATTAATGTCGAAGAAAGGGTTTTCAAGAGAAACTGAACCAGGAGTGAGGCCAAGTTTATCCCATAAACTCATTTCTAGTGAGTGAAACGTATTCACATTTGACAATTCCCTGAAAGAGGGTGCTCTGAAATACAATGTTCCTTCGAAAGGATATGCACATTGACAACTCTGAGGGCTGAGCTTCTGATTATCGGGGCATGTAATGTGTGCACAATTTGAGCTAGTAGTATACGTTTCTGTATCTTGTTGCGGAAGCTGACAGAATGAATTTGAGCTAGTTCCATTGGTGCAAACTGGGTTCCCTACAAGTCTGCAATATGTAAAATTGACAACTAAGAATGGTGTTGACAAATAAACAACCATAGAAAATCAAGATCAAGGCCCATGAACTGTCTCACATTAATGTATGTTGGTATTCATAACCCAGAGTTATTTTAGGAATCTGATTGTTCTGCAGATCAACAAGCTGCAGTTGTGGACTGATGCTATCACCCAAGTTCAATGTTTCGTTAAACACATTGTTTTTCAGTTTCCTGTCAAGGGTTAGAAAAAAAACATGAATGGCAAGTTTCCTAAAATTACAGTCAAAACTTGATGCTTTCTTCAGTATTCTCCTTAAACTTACACTTGCTGCAATGATGTGATGCTGAACATCTTCTCTGGCACAGTCCCTTCAAGTGCTCCAAATTCTAAAACGCTGTGTTCCATAAAAGTAGAGAATTTCAACAAAAAATTACAACAAAGTTTTTAGGGTGTCCTTTTCCAAGACTCATTCATAGATACTAAGACATTTTTGTGTAACCTCCTAAGGACTTACATAGTGGTGATTGAGGGTAAGTTTGAGAACCAATGTGGAGCTTCTGATGGGTCAAATGAGTTGTTACTCAGGTCTCTGAAGTAAAATCATTAGGATTTATCAGTACAACAAAACTGCAGGCAACTTGAAACTTGAAATGACAGCTCCATGCCACTACTCACACATAATTGAGGGAACTCATTCCAGTTAAGTCCGGTAGAGGGCCTGACAAATTGTTGTGGGCCAAATTTCTGGAAGAGAACAAAAACTCATGTAAAAGATGATTAAGAATAATTAAGATTAAGGTAACTGTTAACAGCACATTAGAGTATCCTCTTAGAGACTTGATACTCACAGTTCATTGACATTTGTTAGGTTGCTGATATTTGAGGGGACACTTCCTGTCAGAGCATTTCTATCAAGCCGACTGTTGCAAACAAGAAGGTTTTGAATCCAATAAGTGTCAAGAAGCAGATACTCATATGTGAAAGAATAACAAAATCGAGCTGTTTTTGTACTCACAGAACCTCAAGAGTCTGAACGAGTGCTATGGTTGATGGAATCTCCCCAGTAAATTGATTTCCATCAAACAAACTGCAGTTGAAGAATGACAAGCAGTTAGATAAATAAAAGTATAGAACATAAACTGAAAGATTGCATCTGGCTAAATTAAAAAATGATCGATTGGATCAACTTACATGTGTATCAGTATCATGTCAGAGCTGAAAAGTTTGGGTGGAATGGTACCTGAAAGCTGGTTCTTGTTGAAATGGCTGCATGTCCATATTATCAGTTTAATATGTTTATGCAATAAGCAATGGCATAATCCCTATTAGAATTTCATCTTTTCACAATGGAGAGAGTTTGGGAAATGGAAAAAATACTCACAAGTGTTTAGCCTTCAATAGTTTGTCTAAGCCTGAGGTAACGGGGGTTGAAATTGGTAGAGTTCCAGTCAACTGATTGTCTGCCAGGTCCAACCAGAAAAGTTTGGAGAGTTTACCCAAAGAAGGAGGTATTTTACCAGTGAAGTTATTCGTATTCAAAGCCCTGAAAAGAACAAAAGGTTTATATAAAGTTGGAAAAGAAAAAACTCAAAATGGTTTGCACTATCAGTATGATTATCAATTCAATTCTTACAAGAAAGTTAGCTCTCCAAGATTGCCCAATTCATCTGGAATATTGCCAATGAAGCTGCAGCCAGCCAGGATCCTGAAAGATGAAAAGAGTCTTGTGTACTTATCCAATATAAAAACTTATATTGCATATACAAAGTTCAAAAGGTGCAAATATGAAAATTGCTTGCTAATTTGTTCTTACAGGATATTTAACTTGCTCAGATCCCCTAATCCTGGAGACAGAGAACCCGTGAGGCCTTTGTTGAATG